TTTTTGTTTTGTTTTTTTTTTAATCGGAACGATTATAGATTACGCTTTTGTTTTTATCGATGAGGGAGGGACTGTTTTGTTCTATGTAATACTGTAGTAAATATTGTATAAAAACTGGTTTATTTATTTATTTTTTTAAATAGTTTTTTAAAGAAAATATATTTGAAGTCACAGAATTGCATTTTTTATTCCTGCTCGGTCCCTTGAGTTTTAAGGCCCATAAAAAATTATTAGTTTAACACCTCTCTTCCTCATCACTTTTAGGGAAATTCTGAAATATTTATATTTCAAACTGTCGTTTTTCCAACTTTTCCCACTAGAAAAGCTTAGGATTTCTTGCAAATATGTTTACTGGTAGCAAGAACAACCATCATCATTTTCATCATCATTATCTTTAGTATTATATTTGTATCATATCATAACATATTATTCTTTAAATATCGAACTTAGAAGCAAAGGCTTGCCTTGGTTGATCCAAAAATACTTCAGATATTGTATTGTATTGTAACAGAAATATATTTTTTTGTCTATTTCATTTCTTTAGGCGCAAGCCTAGGATATGCCAACCACTCAGCTGAACTTAATCATTATCCTACGTGGCATATCCATTAAACGACATGGGACTGAATTAGACCAGAATACCGGGGTAAAACCTACATTTCTCTTAGGATGTACTGGTTCTTTAAAATGCACGTGAGCCAAATGCGTACACCGGGCCTAAGGCAGTGGTGGCGCACCAGCGGACACACCCGTCGGGGAGAGCTTCCCCCCCACCTCGTCGAAGAGGAAAACCACAATTCGTCAGGGAGAAAAAAAATGTATATGTATTTTTTTACATATTAGTAGACTCCTAAATCGATTAAATAAGATTTTGAAACCCTTAATGTCATATTTTTCGTGTGTGTGCTTGTCAATTAGTGAAAGTCATTCTTTCGCTCTTTGGCAATATTTCAGCTCTTTGTGAATAAAGTTGAACAAATATAGATATGTATATACTAAACTCTGTTAATATGACAGCAGCTTCAACGGATGTGCTTTGCATAGTAATATCATTATCTGTATCATTTATTATATTAAAAACTGATTTTCCGAACTGACTAATTACTTAATTATAAAACAGACCCGTTACTGTGCTTTAAATGCTATAGGATAAAAGAACGGAATATTAAATATCAAGTTACAGCACATTAAAAAAATAATAATAATAATAAATATATTGTTTTTCTCCCTCTTTATTTTACAAATAATAACTTGACCTCCACATATTTTTACTTTAATATTTTCATCTAGTTTTAGGACACACCAGAAATTATAATATCGTGCTGATTATTTACAAGGAACGTAAGCTTTGAATTTAAATAAATGCATTGATTTAATCCCTGTCCAAACTATCAAATTATTTTTATTTTAAAAAAAACACGTGACATAATAATAATAATAATAATAATAATGATAATAATAATAATAATAATTATTATTATTATTATCATCATTATTATAATAATAATAATGATGATAATAATAATAATAATAATAATAATAATTATTATTATTATTGTTAATAATAATATTATTATTATTATTATTATTATTATTGTTAATAATAATATTAATATCAATAATAATAATAATAATATTAATAACATTTTTTTAACGCGATAACTTAAAATAAATTATCAAAAGTGCAGAAAAGCCTATAATATTTTAATATTGAGTGAAATTCCGAATGAATATTGCTTCTCTGGGTCTATTTAAAGTGTGTAAACATTATAAATAAAATGACTAGGTTTCTTGTATTTGGGGGTTTATAAACTGTCAGTACATAAATTTGGACCTTCTGTAAATTGAACAACTAAATCTATTTTTTGGGTATATTTTTCAACGCAGACATTCTTTCTTCTTTAAGGCAGAGAAAGTATAAATTCTTAAACCGGTTAACGTATTTTAACTTTTCTCTATTACTATATATGACAGAACATCATTGAAAGGAAGCTGTTATTCTTTGTACTCGCCGCCGTTATAAACACGCCGCACAGTTATTTAGCTATGTTGTAGCACGTGTTATAGACCGATCGCTATGTAGCGGTGTGTATTATTCATATAACGGGCGTTGGCCAATGATTAGGCCCTATTCAATCGAATCGGTGGGTGTATTAGGTAGAAATATATTTTTCTTTGAAGTTGGCCATACAATAGTGTTCCATGATATAAATACCACATGATCAGAACAACTTGGTCACATTAACTAGTAACTCTAGTAACAAACATGCCTTACGAAAAGATTCGAAAGTCGTGTGTGAAAGATATTTTATCTTTCAAGGAACTGGTAGTCACCTCTTTACTTAAACGTCCAAATCACATTGGTTGTGTCCGGGACCTGTTTCTTATAATCTGCAACATTAGCCATAGAAAGGCTCATTCAATTAACGCAAAGAAGAACATTCGTCGTGTTCTCACCGAATCTCCCTACATTGTAAAAATGGGAAGATACCAATATCGCCTAGTGGATGGCTGGCAGCACGAATTACCCTGCACAGTCGTCTTTGAATTAGAAGAGTATCCGGTCACTTCTGACACATACAGAAAATGGATGAGAACAACGTCACGATTACCAACTAACGTCATGACACGTGCAGCTAATGTAATACATCTTCACAGCTCATCAGCAGGACCAACTCGAAAAACATTTGTGTCGAAGACAAGACAAATCAAGACATCATCAATACAGACGCCCATGAGCTACAACTGCCTGAAGTTTAGTATTAACGAACTTTTGAAACCACGGTGAGATGATGTTGAGGTCAGATTTGGTGTATCACAAACGTGTCTCTGCCTATTATATAAATTTCTTAGCAAAGCATTTTGGATGTTCTGTATTTATTGGATATGTGAAATAATGTCATTTTACTAATTAGATTATAATGTACATGTAATTATTGTACACATCTTTATGTTATTTTTTAATATGTTTATTATAATATTAGCCTACCGGATATGTACAAACATTCGTCTATAATGATCCATCAAAGTTTAAGTTTAGTTCAATTTTATCATAACGTATATCCTTGTCCAAGCGAATGCGCACAAACCAGTCTATAAGGTTGATTGCGTACTTCACTTCTTACGTGAATATGTAAAAACTTCATTATAATAATTAAGACTTCGTTTAATTGTGTTATTTTATCTCCATTTGAAATTTTATTTTCGTTCGTTCCCCTAAATTTTATTTTCATTAACTGATTTGATGATGATAATGATTTGTGACCGTTGATGTAGGCTGTCAAGAGAATGTAAACTTAAGTGTATTACCTTGTAAATAATTGTTAAATATGTAAATATTATCGGTATTTTAGTTATAGTATTTGTTCATTAAATCAATGTAATGTATATTAATAAATTACATATTAACATTTTGTATATTTATCATTTTACATTTCACCATTGTTCAACCATTTTTATATTTAACAAACAGTTATATCTCGTTTGTTTATATATTTTGTCTGCCAACGCAGATGGATTTATATTGTTATTCAAACAATACAATTATATTGTAACTGGTTTTTTGATGTTTACTGTACTTGCCTCTTATTTCTTTCTATGTTAGTAGTTAGTACCGTTGATGCTGTTTCTTTGAATTAAGTTGACCCACAAAGCACTGCTTGTCATTACTAATTAAGTATGTTTGTTTTGCATTAATAAAAATAATATAACAATAGTGGCGTTTGAAAATATTGATAATAATGCTATTATTAAAAATACATTCTAACTCTATAATTGTACACCAATCAGAAGAAAGTTCCCAAATTCCATTGAAATATGTATGCGCCTGTTTGGATATAATTCTTCTTATGTCGACCGAAGCAACTAATCTAGTAGGCCTATGTTTGTTTTGGATTAATAAAAATAAAATAACAATAGTAATTTTTGAAAATATTGATAATGCTATTATTAAAAATACATTTGTAACTCAATAGTTGATTATGTAAACCATCAGATGTTTGACTGCCTATATATATATATATATATATATACTGTCTCTTATACACATCTGGCAGAGAAATGGATGCACAAGAGGATGAGTAACTAGTAATTTTTTTTAATTGGCCTTATGTACATAAATGTACTGTAGATAAATTTAATATTATATCAGATTTAGATATAAAAATTTCCCTCCCCAATTAAAGTAATAATAATGGGAGAAGATAACTTTCTGATCATTAAATAGTTGTTTAATGGTTAATTGAATGTTTGATTTTTTTTGTTCAAATTTGATTATAATCACAATTAAAATTATAGTTACCACACATTTCTGGTATATAAAACATAACCATTACTGTGACACATCGAAATTCCTGTATAATATTTAGTGTATACCAAAAACAATGGAATAGACCTTTTACAATAGCTTATTGAATACTGTACCAACGACGGTAGCTACACAATAGAATTGTTTATCCAAAGTGACGAACTTTCGATACCTAAATTTAAATAAAAAATGTACAAATATTTCGTCCGCATAGTTTATATAAATAGCCTCTTACGAACTATCACTAAGTCGATCCCGCTTTTCTAACTTAATCGTCTTTCAAGTTGTTATTTCTTCTTAGAAAAGAAACCTTAACATGGCACCACGATATTCTTTTAGCACAAAAATAAATAAACATTATACCTTTAAAGACATCGTCGTTTTGTTTTAGGAGTCTGAATGAAAGTAAGACCTCATCAACATTTAGCATTTAGCTTAGGCAAGGCTAGTTGCCATTAAGTGTTTATCTGTAAATACTATTTTTGTTAGTTCACCAAGTTCATAAGCCTAACCTAAACAAGATTACTTACATTATAACATCGTTTTGTAGAGCCATAAATACAGTTATCAAAAGGAATCATTTATAATCTCTTCATGTAAATGTGCGATTATTTTAATTTCTTTCTATTTTAATATGTTTCATTCGATAAAATTTTACACGTGGTAATATTTATCACAGAAGGATCGAAGAAACAAAGTAGACTGTAAAGATCTTAACTTGCACAAAATGTTTCTGAAACATGCTTAACATAATGCTGATTAAGTAAATGTGGACACTAGTAGTCCAGAAATCACAGACTATTACGTATTGGTGATATTAGTGGCTTGCTTTCTTTGCTTTCTTCTGAACAGCGCCGCCACAAGTGTTGAATTGAATGATATGAATATGAACACTCCTTGGAAACTATTCAATATCACGAAGATATACCAAAGGAATGGTTCGTCGACGAATGAAGCAAGAAACCCAAAGATCCAAGTCAATCCCATAATGCACGAAATCTGAGATGTAAAAAAGAATAATAGAAATTTAATGTAAATTATTTTTAAGAAACAAAAAATATTCATATACATATATACATATATATTTATACCAGATACACTCCACTGCACGATAATTACGGCTCTCAACGAACGTAGTCTTGTAAATAAATGAATAAAGAAATTGTGTAATAAAATGCCTCTGGCGGGACTCGAACCTGCGACCTCTCGCTGTCAAGGCGAGCGTCATAAGCATTAGACCACAGAGAGGATTCAATGTTGAAGAGATTCAGATACCACCAGATACACTTTATACACTCCATTACACAAAAATTACGGCTACAAAAATATAGTTGCGTATAATATAAATCAAGATATCCGTTAACACTGTTAAATTATATAATAATCATAAAATAAAGTTAAATACAGTGTTAGAATAAAGGACATGATAATATATCGTGTAGCATTGCTATCAACGAACGTAGCCTTGTATATAAATGAATAAATAAATTGTGTAATAAAATGCCTCTGGCGCGTCTCGAACCTGCGAGCTCTCCCTGTAAAGGCGAGCGTCATAACCATTAGAATCAAGCTAATTTCCTATGCTTTTAATCCATTTTGTAATTCATATTATGTTCTCTGTCTTTTCACATTTATTTATATACCTAAATTCATATATTTTTCTACCACATGTTTCCTCTTTTGATAGCCCATTATTATCAATTATATTTATGCACTCAACTGTTTTTTGGTGCTTTTCATTTATTTTTTTAATAAAGCTTTAAATTACATCTTTCTGCCTCTTGTTTTTTGACAAACCTGCTATTTAGCGTTAATGCGTGACTAAAAATAATGCATTTCATTCCATTTATTTACCTTTGCAAATATGATGATATTAGTAGAAATATCTTTCTTTGTAGAAGCTCCTCGCATCGTTTTTGTGCTCGTTTTAGTTTGGTGGATCCCGCATACTATAACGACAAACATAATGCTGTTTAAAGCAAGGATCGTTGCCATGGGAATACCTAAGAACATGAAGGCAGCAAACTCATCGCGTATCCAACAAACTGTTTCGTCACCGTAAGAGAATTTGATAGGTGCGTATTCCCAAATATGAAGAGTCATAGCGGCAGCGACAACCAAAACGGGAAGACCCCAACAACAAAAGAAAGGCATTGTAATAGATTGTTTTCCACTGCGATGCTCTACAGCTGATTTTAAAGAACGGAACGATTTGAACAATACTAATGACATTATAAACATCCACATAAATACCACCAACCACAGATAATGCAAAAGTGCAGCCAGAGCAACACACCCTATCTCGGATTCAACTAAAGTTTTTGCAAACAACGTTCCAAGCTGTGCCAGAAACAATGCCGCCGCAATATTCATTACAATTTTGCCAGAAACAGTCCGAAGGTCTTTTTTAATGCAACGTATAATAAATGTCAAAAACAGACCAAGAAGTGAACAAGAGACTCCAACGACGTTCAAAATCTGCAAGGTTTTATCATAAATGAATATGGTTGATACATATGTATGCGTTCCGTTTTGAGAAAAGAAAGAGCAGACATAAACAGAGTCATTAGAAAATACTGCAATCTCATCAATTGTAAACTGACGACCGTTCAGCTTGTACATCCAAATTGTATTTTCTATGACTTCAAAATCGTTGATGTTCAGAGCAATGAGTGGACATGTTGGGTCACGTGAACGATCAAGACAATTTGATATGCTGACTTTAATCGGCTTTGCTGGTTCGCTTTCGATATTAAACGTCATTTCCACTCGATAATCACTTTCTGATATTGTGAAAGTTTTATTTTCGTCTGCCACTGTTACTGATTCATTCATTTTCTCGATATTTACCATATCCACATTTAAATCTAGATCATTACAATTTTCGTAATCATTGTGTGGCGTCATATTGTTTTTTGTATTTATACACGCCTGAAGTATTGTGATATTTTCCAACAAATGTCTATTCTCGCTATTGATCTGTTGATAGATTATTTGGGTAATATTTTCCAACACGTCACAATGTGACGTATTGAAATATATTGTATACATTATTGGAGGTTTAACAGAACTATACAAATCGAATGATACATTTTGAAAGTGTATCCATGACGTGAACCTAGTCAAAACATCATTGTTGGTAAAGTTATTAAGAAAGTTGTATCGTAACTGGATTCTGCTATCATGATTACATAAACATAGGAGTGTACTAGAGTATCCAGGATGTATTTGAAATTGTGCAGGTGCATGCATTTGAATATCATTTTTTTTTATGCAGCCATTCTCTGTAAGGAGCTCGTCTTTTTGGCAAATGATTGTGATGCATTCGCCAGATTCTCCAATAAAAGGATTAAAGACTCGACCAGAATCGCAATCTACTCCCGAAGTGGTAAATTTCAACAGTGGTGATTCTACACTTATGGTTGAACCTGAAGAAAAGTCTAGTAAAATAGTTATGGGTGTGACACTGATTTTAGAAAATATGCTATGCTCTGATGTACAAACTACACAATTACAAGCGTTTTGCTTTCGGCTTATACCGTGGCAACGTGCGCAATGTGTGTTTGCAAACTTCTCCGTAGATAATCGGTCATACACCGTTGCAATGTATGTCTTGCATTTATTTGCTAGTTCAGTATCTGAAAAGTCAGATGGGCAATATTTTTTACCGGGATAACTAGGGCAATATCTCTTACTATAATTTTTAAGTGGTTCATATTCATAATAGTAAGAAAATGGACAATCAATTGAGAGAACATTTTTTAAACCACTTGGAATTGTTGCAGTCATCGTTGGTATATTTTGTGATTTGAATATCCCTATTCCTCGGAACGGATATAGAGAGTCAATGCAATTAAAAGTAACTTTCCATGCTACAACATCCGACATGGCTACCCCATTACATAAAGCACAATATAAGTTTAAATAACCTAAATTAGAAGCGTCACTGACTGGAATATTAAGAAGAAAATCGTCTTGATTTGGTTGTTCACATTTTTTGCGAACGTCTTCATCAATTGCTTTTAGACTACATTTGGAAATTAGGTAGTACGAATTATATTTACAAACAGTACGGTTCCATAACGCGATAGAAGAGTTCAGAGATTTTTTATTGTCGGTGCAATGTTTCCAGTAATCGTAACAGCAATCTCCATAAAGCTCACAATGCGAGTCGCAGTGGCACAATGACTCGAAAAAGGAGGTTCCACATCTACCTTGACAAGTTTCATGGTTGGAACAACTCATCATCATATCAACAGGCTCTTCTATTTCACGCTGGTCAATCAAATCTGTAAAGCGAAATCATTGAATTAAGAAACAATCCAAATAATGGATAATATATACACATATATATATATATATATATATATATATATATATATATATAGTATAATGTATTCCGCAATGTTTTCTTGTGGCTTGGTTGTTACTCTGAGTTTCGCGCCCTATGGCGGTCATCAGACAACTGGCAGCCTTAGGTTGTTACTTGATGTTATACCTA